ACCTTTTAAAATGTTAATTTGGAAATAGTTTTGAATAGGCCCACTAATATATTTGTTAGTCAATGAATATTCTAAATATGTCATTTTCATTAATTTAATGTCTCCTTTTACTCTTAAAAATGTGCTGGTTTGGTCAAAAACTTATATAGAACACTGCCATTAATATACATCAAAAGGGCAGTCAATTTGACCCCTTAGATATCTTTCACACAACGCACTAGCTCAGGTGACATTTCCTGAAAAGGTAGAAAGGCTGTGACCCCCAAAGAAGGCAGGACAATCTCCTTTTCAGTACTTTATACTCCCCCCGTTGCTGAGTTAGCACTATATGTGGCTTTGTTAGAAAGCAATAAATAATGGGTGGAGGGGGATGAGTAACAGGGCAGCACTATGCAGTACAAATTACTCCCCCCAAGCCAGAGGTCCTGAGTGTCAGCCCTGATTCACCACTAGCAGCTGAAGCTGCACAAGTCACCTAACTGTGCTCAAAGGCATGCAATTTCCACATCTGCATAATGGGAATGTTCTCTGTTGACCTTACATAAAAGTATTTGGCTACAAGTTGACTGGCTGATTTGCAAAATGGCTGTCTCTCCTAGTTTTTGTTAAGTAACAGTTGGAGAAATATTCAGATAACCTGGAACAATAGGGGAACAGAAAACCAACAGCATTTACTGTTGTTTCTATGAGTTTATTTACCTGTACTTCCCAGAAAATAAACTGTAACCATACTACGCTCTGGCTACTAGAACTAAACGAAGTATTTACTTAACTAAAGCAAAACAGTAAAGAAGTAAAAAAAAAACACTACTTTTCTTGTGTATCAAAATACTCCTTCACAAAAGAGTAAAGTAACAAATAATATCTACCCAAGATTAACAGTGTACTTCATTTGAATACTCCGCATCTTGCTTCTGCATAGGTTTCAGTCTCATTTTCAACCACAGCGTTAGAACTGCAGGGAAATGTTTTATGAAAAAACCTCATACAATCATTACCAATTCAAATTTCTCTTCAAGTCCTAATATAGTTAATTGCTTTGTACCTTGGAGCATAACTTGGAAATTTTGAGTTTGAATTAACAACACAATAAATTAATGAAACCCAAGAGAACCAGGGCAAAATTACTTACACTATCATTAGTACTAGAGAGCCTTTCCTTAAAGTAAATGAATATTTTTAAAGTAAATTCATAGTTAGGAATATTAAGTTTCTGGCCTTTGAGAAACATTTCATTTTACATCCTAAATACTTTACTTAAACCTTGAAGAAATTTTATCAAAAATTATACTTTTGTAAATCAGTAAAAGGTAAAGGAAGTTCTTCTCATTATGTGCGATTTGTTCTGTTATTCAATTTCATAACAACTCTTTCAGGGCCCTAACTTGTAAATTAGAATATGTAAATTAGTAGGTACCTGAACAACATTCATGCTTTTTCAGAATCTTAGATGCTAAGCTTTATACCATGAGAACACTTGGTATAAACTTGGTATAAAAGGGTAGACTGTTGAATCCTATGAACACTTTCTCAGGATAATCTTTTTAAATGTTTAATATAAACTACACAGGTTTACAAGGAAACCAATTTTACTGAAATATTAACACATTTT